TGTGGCCCCCTTGACCACGCCCCCGACCCCCGGACCCGCAGTGACTCCAGGAACCGGGAAATTGATTGACAGGTCGGGCATTTGTTGATTGACGGTGCGATGGTAAAACCGGAAAAAGGGCATCTTGGGGCCCGGGGTGACCTCCGGGGTGACCTTGCATGACCCCAGATGACCCCGGATGACCCCTGCGATCCCCTTGACCACGCCCCCGACCCCCCGGGCCCGCAGTGATTCCAGGAACCGGGAAATTGATTGACAGATCGGGCGTTTGTTGATTGACTGTGCGAGCGTCAGGGGGGGAAATGGGGCCCCGGGGGCCCATTGTGACCCCGCATGACCCCCGGGGTGACCCTGGATGACCCCACGTGACCCCCTGACCCCTGCCTGACGACCTCACCCCGCCCCTGCCCCGCCTGGACCCCGCAGTACTGAGCACGGAGGCGGCCGAGCGGCACCATTCCAACTCCCCCCGCGCTGTGGCGAGGTTTCCCCGGCGCCTGGCGGGGTGGGACGGTGCTGGGACTCGGTTCTGATGCCTGAGGGGTCGGGAGGGGGCTGGGGACTGAGCCATGAGCACCGCGGGGACTGAGCAATGAGCACTGGGGTCACCGAGCCACAAGCACTCGATTAACTGAACTCAGTGGCTCCAGTGCTTGGTGCTCGGTGGCTCGAGTGCTTGGTGCTCGGTTACTCGAGTGCTTGGTGCTCAATTGCTCGAGTGCTTGGTGCTCAATTGCTCGAGTGCTTGGTGCTTTGCTGGGGGCGGCGTTGGACGGACTGCGGGGTGCTGGGTGCTCGGTGCTTGGTTGGGTGCTGGGGACTCGGTGCTCGGTCCTCCCGGGCCCCCGTGGGTGCTGGGGACTCGGTGCTCGGTCCTCCCGGGACCCCGTGGGTGCTGGGGACTCGGTGCTCGGTCCTCCCAGGTCCCCGTGGGTGCTGGGGACTCGGGGTGCTCGGTCCTCCCGGGCCCCCGTGGGTGCTGGGGACTCGGTGCTCGGTCCTCCCAGGTCCCCTTGGGTGCTGTGGACTCGGGGTGCTCGGTCCTCCCGGGGCCTCGGTGACCTTGGCAGGACCGAGGTGACCTGAGTTTGCCCTCACCGGAAGCGGCCTCAGTTCGCCCTTACCGGAAGTGACGTCACCTACCCGCCCGATTCCTTTTCAGCTCAAAACCCAGGAGAATAAGTCCCGCCCCTGGGTTGGTAGGGCAACCGCGACTTCCGGTCGGCTCCCCTCTGACCTCTCGCTTCCTTTTTTCCCCCCCCAGGGCCGCCATGGACGCCGGAGCCGCGGGAACCGCGAGGACCGGGGACGGTGACGTCATCGCGGGCGCCGCCGCCGCCGCCCGTCAATCACCGCGCCGCGCGGGGAGCCGGGCCTGGGGGTGACGTCACCCCCTCCGGAGGCTCGGGCGGCCCCGCCCACCGTGCCCCAGCCACGCCCCCCCCTCATCGCCCACCGGCGACTTCATTCCGTGCCATTTTAATGGCGGCGGCTTCAGCCACGCGCGCCATTTTGGTGACGTCACGCCGCGCGCCCCCGGTTGAGGGCGGCGGCTTCACCCGCGAGCCATCTTGATGACGTCATTCCGCGCCGTTCGTTCCTTGTTTTTTTTCCTCCTCTCCCACCGCCAGGCCCCGGGAGGTGGGCGGGGCCGGCCGGGGTAGGGGGCGGGGTCAGACTCCGCTCCGGGTGACGTCACGGCGGGGAGGGCGGAAGGGGGCGGGGCCGAGGTCAATAAAGGAAAATATTTTTGAGACTCGGCTTCCGGGTGAGTGGCGGGGCCTGGGGGCGGGGCCGAACCCCGTGACTGACAGCGGCGGAGGGAAGGGCGGGTCCCGAATCCCGTGACTGATAGCGGCGGAGGGAAGGGCGGGGCCCGAACCCCGTGACTGACAGCGGCCGGGAGGGCGGGTCCCGAACCCCGTGACTGACAGCGGCCGGGGAAGAGCGGGGCCCGAACTGCGTGACTGACAGCGGCGTGGAACCGATGACTGACATTAGCCGCGAGGGCGGGACTTGCATGCGCCATGATTGACAGCCGCGCCGTGTTCGCCCATTTGCCGCTCTTGCGGGCGGCGCTTCGACTGTGGGCGTGGCCTGGGCGTCTAGGGCGTGACCAGCGGGTGTGGGCGTGGTTTGCCGTGCCGGGGGCGTGGCCGGGCCGCCATGCCGCCGCTGCTGACCGCGCTGAGGCCGTGCAGCGGTTGTGGGCGTGGCTCGGGCGTCCAGGGCGTGGTCGGGGGCGGTGCCAGGGGCGTGGCCGGGCCGCCATGCCGTCGCTCCTGCAGGAACTCCGGGCCGTGCTCCTGGCCTACGCCGTGGGCGCCGCCGTCCTGGTGTCGCAGCTGCTGCGCCGCCTCCGCGGGGGCTTCCGGGAGCCGGGTGAGTCACGTGGGGGTCGGGGGGCGGCTCCCGGCGTCCCCTGCTACCACCGGGGGTCCCCGTGTCCTTCCCGGTCCACCCCGGCCGCAGCGGAGATTCCCGGACGCCATTTTGGTAGTTTTTGGCTGTAGTCGGAAGTGGCGGCATCGGTTTCCGGAAGTGCTGATTCCGCCATGTTGGGAGTGGGCGGCACGGGAAATGTAGTCCGCCAGGGAGCAGACGGAGCCTGGCGGCGCAGGGGCTGACGGGTAATGTAGTCTCCGGGCAAGCTGACTGGTTAATGACGGGGACGCGGGGGACGAGGGGTTCTTGGCGGCCGCGCATGGCCTGACGGGAAATTTAGTCCCATAGGAAGATGACGGGGGAGACGGGTTAATGGCGGACCCGCTTTGTCTCATGGGAAATGTAGTCCTTCTGGTAGCGGACGGGTTAATACCGGAGACCGAAAGGACGACAGGCTAATGGCGGCCGCGCTTTGGTTCATGGGAATTGTAGTCTTCCAGGGAGCTGACGGGTTAATGGAAGAGACAATGGGGAAGAAGGGTTAATGGCTGCGGCGCTGGGGCCGCTGGGAAATGTAGTTCAAAGGAAGCTGACGGGTGAATGGCGGAGACAGAAAGGACTACAGGTTAATGGCGGCCGCGCTGGGGCCGCTGGGAAATGTAGTCCCCCAGGAAGCTGACGGAGACCTAAAGGCCTACAGGCTAATGGCGGCCGCCCAGGGGCAGCTGGGAAATGTAGTTCAAAGGAAGCTGACTGGTTAATGGCGGAGACTGAAAGGACTCCAGGCTAATGGCGACCGCCCTGGTGCTGCTGGGAAATGTAGTCTTCTACCGAGCTGAGACCTAAAGGACTACAGGTTAATGGCGGCCGCGGTGGGGCCGCTGGGAAATGTAGTTCCCCAGGAATCTGATGGCGGAGACACCAGAGACGACCCCGCCCCCTCTCACTCTAACCCCGCCCCCTGACTCTAACCCCGCCCCTCCGACTGTAACCCCGCCCCCTCTGACTCTGGCCCCGCCCCCTCTCTCTCTGTCCCCGCCCCCAGCGCTCCCCCCCCAGCCGGGCCGCGTGGCCGTCGTCACGGGCGGCGCG